GGGGTCGGGACGTGTCTGTTTCGTGCGCCGGTCGGAAAAATTCATGCTACACCGGGTTTACAAATAATTATAGCACGATTGTATCTGCGTATGCACTGGCACTAGTATTTATATCTGTGGTACTGACTGTTATCAAGTGTAGGCAGGCAGCTAGGTTATTTATTTCAAAAATATTTTTGATTTTCTTTTATTATTTATTTAAAAAACATTTTTTTTAATATCGCACCCCTCACGGAAGAATGGCAAAGTGGAGTTACGTCAAAACCTAAAATTGACTAATATTTTCGATAGAGTTACTAGAATTGGAGAGGAGATGGGTTATATTTTATATAGGTACACATAAATTCATGTTAACTTAACTTACTATACTATACTACACTACACATAATATCATGTACTTTTACTATCGAAATACTCATTTAAGTTATAGAAACAGTTCGAGAGTAAATAACTTTTCAGAGCATTTGCGAATATGTAATTATTTTCAGTGTTTCTTATTCTAAGATGTATTTTGTTATAGACTCTTATTGCCATATTGTGTGCACCTGAGCTAACAATTTAAAAATTTGTAAAATAACCAATCAATTTGTTTCGCGGTCTACTTAGCTACATAAGGATTATCTCTTCCTTGTCCAAATAAGTGCCTGTATTTTCTTACAAACTTACTAATTTCAAATACATATATTGATGTCAAAATCAAAATGTTCAAACTAGAAAAATGTGGTCTACAAGTATCTGTTTCCGTTATGTTTGCCAATACTCTCATGCATTTCTTCTGCAGAATAAAGAGGCTGCTGGCATGGGTACTATTACCCCACAAAATAAGTTAAGACACCATAAGTTAGACGAGCTTGCGCATAGGCGTAATATGCAGACAAAGCGGTTTTTAAATTTGTACATTTTTTAATTTCATGTAGAGCATATGTGAACCTAAATAATTTTCCAGACACCTTATCTACATGGCATTTAAAATTAACTCCTGAGTTAATTTTTAATCCTAATAAATTACACGAATCTACACATTTTATTTTACTATTTTCATATGACAAGTCGATTTTCACTTATGCCATTAACTACGAACTTAACTCCACTTATGCCATTCTTCCACGAGGGGTGCGATATCAAAATGTTTTTGCTAACATTATTCGAGGTAACCATACAATTGGCATAATTGATGAATGTTTTTTGTAACGAACACAGAGGTATTAGAAAAAAGTTTATAATAAACTTAGTAATATATGTTTTGTAAAGAAAATATACAGTATTGGACAACGGATTACAATATATGGATATAACAAAAGCTTTTGACTGCGTAAACCATGTCATTTGACTTGACTTATTTTCTTCATGTGATGTATGAAGCAACACAAATTAAATGCTAAATTCATATTGAAGCGGTAGTACTCAACTGACCAAACAGGTATAAAATATAAGTCTGATTCTAAAGTATTAGTGCTCGTATATATAGAGTACCGCATGGTAGTATTTTGGGATCCTTGCTCTTCTTAATATCTATTAATGACATGCCTAAAGCACCTTATCACCCAATAATTCTCACACCAATTATATTAAAGAAATAGAAAAAAATAGCAGCTTGAATTCATTCCCTTACTTCATTGTCTACATAATATATATATAATATAATAACGCACACACTCAACATAGCCCCGCACTAGGGAAACCCTGTGTCGCGGGTGCCATGGACACACACATAGACAACCACAAATTACACCCAAACTCACGAGAGAAATAAATGTAGGTCATACAAATATTTCGCCCGGCCCGGGAATCGAACCTGGGACCTCTGCGTGGCAGTCCGGCATGGTAACCGTTCGGCCACGGAGGCAGTTAATATACTATTATTTATTTACATTTGTATGTATTTGTACTTTGACGATATCGTTATCGCATACTATTTTATTTTTTCTATATTTTTCGTTATTTTAACATATTGTAACATTTTACAATTTATCGTCATTAAAATTAACATAAATAACTATCGCAGTCATTAAATTACTGACTGATGTGTGCAAGCCCATTTTATATTATTAAAAAGTACAACACGCTATACTTAGTTCAGTTTGTTGAAGTATAATTGAATAAATGTATAATATACATATTCAATATGTTTATACACCTAATGTTTGGCCGAGCACTAAGTAAACTTCTATGCAACTAGTGTTTTCATATATGAATTATGAATTATTTATATCTTTAAAAACATTTTAAGTCCATTTCTTTCGAGTAAATGATCGCTTATACAGTGCACTGATCTCTTATCTATAGACTATAAAAGCCAATAAAACAACATTCAATATAGTATCTGTATTTGTTTATTCTTCCTGATGGGCGTTTGTGGTCTGTCTTAAAACTCTGTGTCTATTTTTGCCATTAATGAAAGTTGGTAGTGACTTACGAATTTTTTTAAAGCCTTAAACCATGTAATGTGTGATGTTAATGTGTAAATATTCTTTCTAGGGAGCGCGGTAATTTTTTATGTGTAATAAAAATTAAATGAGTAAAAATGAAAAAAGTGTCGGTTGCAAGTTACGGGTCTACAAAGGAAGTTAAGAAAATGAATGCAGATTTAGAGGAAGCCTTGGAAATTGCTGGTTTGTATTGGTGGCTGGTTTTTGGTTTTCTGTTTCTAACATATTTCATAATAAGTTTCCATCATCCACTCTTGAGAATATCCTCCCATTACAACCGTTTATCCTCAAAACAACACATTCTGAACAGATTCTGATTCAGACTAATTTATTTCTCAAATATAATATTACAGTATAAATTGCATGCCATAGTCACGTCCAAGTATAAGAAATTATATTGAGATCGTTAAACAAAAATGAAAATTATAAAAAAAATACACAATAATTAGAAAATTAACAATTCATTAATAACAATATTGTTGCATTAAATTACATATCAAATATTTAAAGGATCGTCATAAGGTGATAACAAATATACAAAAGTATGTCAGTCAATGGGATAAAAATTAAAATTAATAATAAATAAATAATAATAAATAAATAACGCTCACACTCAACATAGCCCCGCACTAGAGAAACCCTGTGTCGCGGGTGCCATGGACACATACATAGACAACCACAAATTACACCCAAACTCCCGAGAGAAATAAATGTAGGCCATACAAACATTTCTCCCGGCCCGGGAATCGAACCTGGGACCTCTGCGTGGCAGTCCGGATGTCCGGCATGGTAACCGTTCGGCGACGTAGGCAGTTATACAATATATACTAATACAACAGAAAATGCTCAGTAAATTTCAATTTTCCAAGAAAAGGTCTTTCAGCCGGCGCGCCTGAATGTATCGTGATGGTTCAAGTCTTAAAGTCGTATTCTAGAACTCTACTCAATGCTCAAGTCAGGATTTGAGTATGGTTTAAAGCATTCGAAATAATACACAAGTCCCTGCCATTAGGGTCGTATTTCCAGTGCCTGTGTTTCCAGTGCAATCCTGACTTGTGCATTGAGTAGAGTTCTGGAATACGACCCTAAGGGTCCTATTCCATACGAGCGAATACGACGATAGAATACGAATACGACGTTCTGAACGTCCTATTCTACTCAATGCTCAAGTCAGGATTTGAGCAGACTTGAGTATGATTTCAAGCACTGGAAATACGACCCTAATGGCAAGGACTAGATTATGATTTTCAGTGCTCACTGCAATACTCAAGTCCTGACTTGAGTATTGAGTAGAGTTCTGGAATACGACCCTAAGACTAGCGGGTAGACGCTAATAGTAAGTAAGACCGAACCGTGAATTTTGAAGTTAAATTTAGCTGACAGTTGTGGACAGTTTACGTACCAACGCAAAACCTTATAAAGAAATATTATTAAGTCCGATAATTCCCCCTCTCTCTTCAAGCGATAACATTTTAAAATAACCATAACCTTTTTATATAAAACTATATTTAAGGTCTGGTATACCTTTATAAATAAATAGGTTTTTGGGAATAGCCATTTAACTTATATTTTTACGAACAATATTCATACTTAGTAGTTATTGGGTTTTTATTGGAAATGACCCTGTTTTTGGATCCAAAACGCATGTATTTGTTTTTTCAAACAAACCAATGTTACAATAAAATACAGTAATTAGAATTTTAATTAAAAGTTTGTGAAATTACATCTATTTGCCAAGTTTTATTGCAATTGGTTAAGGCGAGGCGTCAGGGGTCGCCGACACAGATCCGACATCGACAAGCGCCCGATGGCGACAGACGGGGCCGCGAGCGGTGCAGCGTGTCTTATCTTATATATAAATGTTATCCCTACGACCACGACTACTATTCAACGTGCTACCTTATGCCAATATATACAATTATACATATTACATACATACACATACATTTTATATATATATACAATATATAATATCAAGTGACGGGTCGGACAAGTCGCACGCCTGATAGTAAACTACACGCCCGTCCATAACAGTTGCAGTGTCCTCAGAGCTTCCTGAGAGATAAGTTAACAAGTCCCATGTGCCTGTAATTTCACCAGCAGACATAGGACAGGTGGCAAGTACTTCCCTGGATGAACTCTTTCACAAGGATATTACAGTCAACTATAAATCTTCTTTAACTTAACGAGTTCGTCGATATCCTATACATATTCTTCTTGAGTCTGGCGGCTACAACTCACGTCAGTGCTATAGCCCCATAACAATATACCACAGCTTACCAACAGTTCTAAGCGTATGCATGATAAGCGGGTAGAGTGCACTCGACTTTAAAACGTTTAGTGCATAGAGAAATGACATAATTTAGATTTTAATTTTGCTAGACGCTTTGTCCAATCAAAGCGTGTCATTTGTCACATTAGTTCAAATTGAGTCACTCCATCAATATCCAGTAACAATGAGTGGAAGTCTGAATTATATAATCTTTGTGTTATTTGTGTAAAGCACCAGATTGTGATCTTGTAACTATTCAGTGATGTTATCGAAGGATTTCTTGACGTTATAGTCATTACTGAGGAAAGAGATATCATTGGCACATAAGATACACTTATGGTTGGTTATCTTAGAGAGGTCATTGACATGTGTCAAGCACAGCACACATCCCAGTACACTTCTCTGAGGGATAGAGCTTTTTTTACTATTCTAAGTGACGGGACGAACAAGTCGTGCGCCTGGTAGTTGCAGTGCCACTCAGAGCTTTAAATCACAAAGATCTGAAGGACACTGCCACTGCGCCCGTCACCTGTGTGTGTGCGACATAAGTTAACAATCCCCCGTGCTTGTAATTTCACCAGAACCCTAATCTACAAAACCGTAACGCAGTAATATTCACGTTATTGATTAGCGGCAGAAATAGGTAGGTTGCAGTACTTCGCTGGTCTTTTTCTTATGAAGCTCTACTGCCATTAGAGCTGTTGACAGTTTGCCGTTTTGACTGTATTTTTATAGTTGTCCTGAATCTTGATAAAGGTGTCCAATTCGTACATAGTTTTGTCTATGTTTTAGATTTGGTTAATAACATTGGGTGTGAGACTTATTAATCATGAGTTTTGGACATATAATAAATAAGACCCATGATCACGGCTGACTCGGTTTGTTTGAAAAAAAAAACACAAATATTTGTGATTTAGATTCGAAAAAATAGTTTAACTGCATAGTTATCACACATTGAGTACGTGAGTAGACTATGCTACTGTTGGAGCAGAATGCTACCACGTGAATATAGGAACCATGATAAATAATAATTATATATTGTATATTTACGTGTGTGTACATCGGTTTTCTTGACAGGAATAAAAAAAATCTTTTCAATTGTTCCTACGAGAACGTAACACTATTTCAAATTTCAAATCATGACAATGTATTGGCCAACCTTTAACTTTTATGACGTGCATAGTCAAACTATTTCGACAGCTACTACAACGTGGATTATTTTTGTTACGTAATGGAGACGCATATTTTTCATAATTCTTAAAGACCGATGCTTAAGTTTTGGTATTGAGTTGTAGTTCCTGAAGCTAGATGACGAACTCAGAACTTCATCCTTTTCGATTGGTTAAAGAAACTAACATGTGAATGAACTATTCCAGGTGCCGGCAAATACCAGATATGCCACTGTCTGCTAATGGTAATGGCACTGACCGCGTCACTGATGGAGGTCTTGTCTTACTCCTTTGTGCTGCCAACGGCCGCCTGCGACCTACAGGTGCCGGTCCACTTGAGAGGACTAATAACTTCTATACCTAACATAGGTAAGACGCGTCCGTTTATGTCATACGACTCAAGCAATGTTTGCAAGACATTTCTTTTTCATGACACAGTATCATTACTGTCAACCCACTGTTAAAATTATGTAATTACACTTGCATTAAGAGACAAGACTCTTGACACGAAGCGAAAAAGATGTCATATAACTGCCTAGTGAAGCGTGTGTATGTAGAAAAGGAGAATTAAATCTAGATACGGGCAATTGTTTTTAGTATAGGGTTTGAGATGACACGCAGATGGTTTTTTGCTCATAATGGCCTAAAAGTCCGTAAAGCAAGGCACCGATTTCAAAGACTGTAATTTAATTGAACAATGGTTCAAATAAGTAATTTCATAAATTTGAAAACACGTTTTAAACTTCATCAGGAATAATCCTGACGGCAGCGTTTTGGGGGCGCATGGCAGACAATTATGGTCGCAAGCCAATCCTTCTCTTAGCTTGTATGGCTGCAGGGTTGTTCTGCTTCATTGCCGCATTTATGCCCAATCTGGTCAGCTTTGCTATTTGTAAATTCTTCGCCTCTCTGTTGTAAGTATTGATTTAATTTTAAGTTAGAAATTTTCGAAGAATTGTGTGACCCTTCTAGAGTATTCACACAATGTTTTATCTGAACAATGTAGATAATTTTGATTAGTTTATAATTAGTTTGGTATACTTAAGAAATGGTTTGCGTAACCAAGATTTTAACATTAATGTTACAAGTTTTCGTTCTAAAATGCATATTAAATTATTCATTTATTCATCTTTAAGATTAACGTCTAATTTAAAATTTATTAAGTCCCAAAAATTATTAAATTTACGTAATTTCAAAAATGTAATCAGACAAGCTTTGTAATGGAATAGACTACCTAGATAACACATATTTTTCAAAAGATATTGTGTTGTTTTTTATGTTTTTTACAAAGCTATTTTCAAATATGTATGTCGATTTGAATCATGAATTATGAAAAACTATATCAACAAAAAAAATTACAATCCAAACGAAGACTACGTAAATAAAATACATATAAAAAGAAATGAAGTCTGTTAGGTTTATGGAAAACTGATAACATATTTTTAATTGCTTGGCGACATGCATTCCACATCTGCAATTTCTCGTCAATGAAATTCATAACGTTACGCGTCTTAAAATTATCAATAGAAGGTGGAAATGAAACTACTGATGACCAGCCGCGATCATGGAACTCCAAAGAGCCCGAAACGTTGTACATCCGAAAAATAGTTTCATTCATCGCAATATTTTCGAATTTCAGTTTATCAGTCCCGTCATCTCTGAGTTTTGCTTACGCGGGCGAGATAACGCCAACCCGGCGCCGAGATTTGGCCGTCCTTTGCGTCAACGGTTTGCTAACAGTCTCCTCAGCATTAAGCCCTCGTAAGTACACGTATACTTGAGATATCGTATTGAATAAGTCGATAACAGATATTCAGAGGTAATTTACAAATCTTGTCATAATATTTTCGTATCGATTTCTGTACTTTGTATTATCGGAAATCGTAATGAAAAAAAAAACATACATGATATCTGTAAATAGGAGCTACTGGATATGATTACTAACTGTTACATGTTTGTCCACAGAACAACACATACACACACACACACACACACACACACACACACAAACACACACACACACAAACACACACACACAAACCCACACTCACGCACGCACACACACACATTAATACATTAAAATTAATTTAAGTACATTTATTTGTAATCAAAGCATAAGGAGGTTTATAAATTTTGTTGTAAACATTTATTTTTAAAACCCCTTGAACCTATATAACTTAACTGTGTGCCATACTGGACATAATATACTAGGTCTCTGCGATACAAGTTTATACTTAGTGTAAGGACCGCGAGAAATAACAATAACAACAATAATAACAACGCACACATTCAACATAGCCCCGCACTAGGGAAACCCTGTGTCGCGGGTGCCATGGACACATACATAGACAAACACAAATTACACCCAAACTCACGAGAGAAATAAATGTAGGCCATACAAATATTTCTCCCGGCCCGGGAATCGAACCCAGGACCTCTGCGTGTCAGTCCGGCATGGTAACCGTTCGGCCACGGAGGCAGTTTAATCTTTGGTAGATAAGAGTTATGTAACATAGTTAATATGGTGTAAATGCAAATTAATGTAATCCTATTTGGTCAATAAAGCTTATTATTATTTATTTATTATTATTATTTGTCATCATCTAGGAGCAAAGAAGCTATGAAGCCATAAATACACCAATGAGCATCTATGAATAATATTAGCCTCGGAATAAAGAAAGGCAACAAGCAACAAATTTAAAATTGGGGGATATTTTTATTTTTATGACGGGACGAAAAAGTCGTGCGCCTGGTGGTAAGCGACATGCCTGTCCACAGCAGCTGCTCTGAGACATAAGTTGACAAGTCCCATGTGCCTGTAATCTCACCAGCACCCTTACCCTTCAAAACTGGAACACAGTAAAATTCACATTAGTGCTTGGCGGCAGAATTAGGTATGGTGGCAGTACTACCCTGGATGAACTCCTCAATGAGCTCTACTGCTACGAGATTAATAAAAATAATAGTCATAATTTTAAATTATACATAAGACATATGTTATATAGAAACTTTCATTGTATTTTAATTACCCACTTTAAAAAAAAACTGCATTTTATCTTTTAACTTGCACAAAAAAACATAAGAAATGCTATAACTGAATAAGAGGCATAACTAACTGGAATGTGGGTATGCCTTTTTTTGTTTTATTTATAAAGTAATTATTGTAATTGAACTACATAATAAGGGCATCGTTCCGTACATTACTAAGTAAAATTCTTTGATACTAATGTCTTTAAATAACTTCAAATATGACTTTTTATTCCAACAATAAACTTTTTGTCTTTTTACAAAAATAAAAACGTGACCTGTTAATCAAATAAATTAATTGAATCCTATGTCCAATATTCAAGTATATAAACTGAAAAAGAACATGTCTCATTGCTTGTGTCTAAATATGCAAATTTGTTTTATAATATTTGTATTGTTGTTGGTTTGTTTTATAGAATATAATTCGAGAAGTTGATTGATCCCATTTGCTGTAAATTCTATAAATAATAAAAAATTATATATGAAACACTTGTTTGATGTCATTCTAGTTTTTTGATACTTATAAATAATTATTTGGGTGACAACACTGTTTAGTAGCTGTAGGGTTCCTTGTGAAAGAGTTCGTCCGGGGAAATACTGCCACCTTAACAATTTCAGCCCCCAAGCAGTAGTGTGAGCATTACTGCGTTCCGGTTTTGAAGGGTAAGGGTGCTGGTGAAATTACAGGTAGGTACGTGGGACTTGTCATCTTATGTCACAAGGTGACAGGCGCAATGCCAGTGCCCCTAAGATCTTTGCGATTTAAAGAGTTGAGTGACATTGCAGCTATTATGAACAGGCGTGACGCTTACCATCAGGCGTACGACTTATTCGTCCAATACTTGGTATTTAAATATAAACAAAAAAATATCCGAAAAAACCGGTTTTCAAAGCGAATCTGTGCGTCCGTACACGGCACGCGGCGGGCGCGCATATATACAAGCCCTGCTGCTTCGTATGAATGGAGTTACCGTTCTTGTCTTATTATAATAATAATACGGTTGATTGTTTATGGAGACATTAATTAACTATGAATATTTTCAGTTATTGCTTGGGCTGTCCTTTCCATTGACTGGAGAGTGAACCTTGGAGCAATCAACTTTAGACCATGGCGTCTGCTTACCATAGTGTACGCACTTCTTTTGGTTCTAACCAGCATAAGTGTTATATTTATAAAAGAAAGCCCCAAATTTTTGGTGTCGAAAGGTAAATATAGAGAAGCTTTGGAAGTCCTGAGATACATTTACTCTAAGAACTCTGGCAGGCCTCAAGATGACTATTACGTACGTATTCAAATTATTACCATTTATTTATTATTGAGAAGACTTAAATTTTTATCAACAAACGCATGTTAAGTAACTTGCGGCCGTGACACTTTCGCAAGTTACGATTAAGTAAGTTGTAAGGTAAGCGCACAGTATTACAAATATCGAGTATATAACCAGAAATAGAGACGAAATAAGGGCATACATTCCTGGTAACCCAGCAGTGATACATCACTTATAAATATCAACTCTCGTTTGCACTGAAATTACAAATTAGAAAGCTGAAATAGTACAACGCCAACAACTGACCTGTGTGTACGTCTTCGTATATTCCAAAAATATTCTGTATTTATAGTAATAAAGATAATATCTCTAGCATAGGCGTGCTATTCCATTCGGTAGTGTGGGGAAAAACAGCATAACATCTAATTACAAAACAAACGGAATCAAATTACATCGGGTAATAAAATATTAAATATGTAATTTTGCAATTTTCGTCTATTGTAGCAAAACTCAAGTTAACTGGTCGTTTTGAAGTTAAACAATTGACGACACCCGTCAATTGTTTCGAATTCAGACTGGCCAATCGGAGCGCAGTTGTCACTGTAATGATATGGCAGAATAGTTTTCAAACAAATTTCGTCTCTGTTTCTGGTTATCTGGTTATATACTCGATGATTACAAATCTACAAAATACAAAATTAATTTGATCGAAGGGTTTTTTTTGTCAGCGTTCGATCGTTGTATTAATAAATATAACGAACTAGTGGAGTAATTTAACAAAAAACATATTGAATTATCATGGTAGTAAAACTTCGTGATATTCATTTTAACTGCCTCCGTGGCCGAACGGTTACCATGCCGGACTGCCACGCAGAGGTCCCAGGTTCGATTCCCGGGCCGGGAGAAATAGTTGTATGGCCTACAATTATTTCTCTCGTGAGTTTGGGTGTAAGTTGTGGTTGTCTATATGTGTGTCCATGGCGCCCGCGACACAGGGTTTCCCTAGTGCGGGGCTATGTTGAGTGTGTGCGTGTGCGTTTGTGACGATGTGACCTCCTTACGTCGTCATCCCAACATTAAAAAAAAAAAAAAAATAAATTCAATAAATAACTTAATATTACAATTATTAAAAGCGATATCTATTGTCAGCTGCTGGTAACTGTAAAGGTGACTGAGTGAAGAAAAACTTTTATAGATTTGTCACAGATGGCGCTACAGCAAAACAGTCGTTAAAAATAATAAAAAAAACCGTAAGGTCTGCTGGTTCGTTTCGTAGCTCAGTTAGTACAGCTTCAGACATAGTATGCTGAAGGCGCTGGTTCGAATCCAGCCGAGTGGAAGCAATTTTTTTTAGTGTTTTATCAGCTATTTGCACATCGCAACTGTTAAGCCAACTTCTGAGCATAGTGAATAACACCAATGTACTGTAGATTTAGCACCAAAGAAACTGCTGGATGTAAACTTTGAGTATTTGTGTCTCGAATAGCGACGTGATGTAACCGTTAAACTGCTGTAGCTGATCTAGCTTCGTATCATTGGTCAGGAGATGTAAACGCCGTGTATTAGCTAGTGCTAGGACCAGCTTGTAGCAGAACAAAACACACCACCAGTTTTTTCCTCGAATGCGATACAAAAAGATTGGTCAGCTTGATTTATCCTGCTGGTAAGTTTGAAATCATGCGAGACACCCACGTCAAATTTCTGTTTATTCACAGCGCTTCATATTTTTATTTTCACCAGGGAAAGGACATTATCATAATCAGAGCTCATCATGCAAATACTATTTATTGTCAAGCTATAGAACGCACAGAATTTGGTTGATTGGATAAAATCGATAGTCAAAATTGGCGCAGTTTTACTGTTCATGTGTATTACAAATCTGGTACTAGTAGATATTTCTTAGTTTTTCCTTTGCAGACAGTTTCAGTTGTTCGGTAACCAGTTTGCCGTGGATTATTAGATCTCGTTACATAAGTATAGTACTTCTACATCAGTGAGCGCACTCGGTTCTAGGGGAAATGCCCCCTAAATCTATCACCACATCATGGTCTTTCTCATCCATTACAGCTTCAATGGCTTTCTGAAGCCATAGTAATAATTGTGGCTGCCAAATACCCGTTGAGTCAATATTTCCTTGAAAATTACTTATAGACGAAAAACTAATAAACTACCCCGTATGCGCCCAATGGCCCCAATTGGGGCCACCGTTATATACTACTGTCTGAAGTTGTGAAAACGCTATTTAACTCAATTATATAATTTTTATTTTATAGTATACGAATATATTTCAACAATATTATGTAAAGAAATAAATAAATTGTTGGTAATAACATACAGGAAAACAATTAACTTTAGCGTTAGTTGTTTTGCACTTTTATTTAATTCTAAAGAATTTTTTTAAGTATTAAAATCAAGATCCACTATTTTACTTTACATATACACTTTGTAATGAGTATTAATAGTAATATAAAAAAATACGAGTACTCAAAGTAGTGTCCTCGATTGGGCACGGCGGGCGCAAATGGGTTATAATTATGGAAACTAGTGGAGTAATTTCACAAAAAATAATTGAAAAAATTGGAAATAGTAAAATTAATTTTATTACACATATCTAAACTATAACAGGTAGATACATAACAAAAAAGTTAGAAAGTTAATAAAAAATTTCTCCTTTGAATTGCTAAACTTATTCTTTGGCGGAAATAACTATCAGGTCAGGCACCGGAGGCTCCTGCGATCCGACAGCTCATTCGCTAGAAGTTTCGCCTGTGTCCCGCAGGGACAAAACTGTAGCACTGAGCACGGTTGGTGTATTTGAGCGTTTTGCGATTATCGGCCGCTCAGGCCACGAAGCCTGCGCCGCCCACGCTTGTCCTTACGTGGAGGGGGCTGCAGTATCCACACGGGTTGCGTCCTGTCAGGCCTCTTACATTCACTGCGACAGATGTCGGTGGGCTCGAGAACTGCCGGTAGTAGTATTTAGTCTTAGCAGTATTGTAGTAAAACACTGTGATATTCAATAAACTTAATGTTACAATTATTATTAATTCTGTTCAACGACTTATTTTTATTATGATTTGGTAAGTATGAGGCGCATTGTTTCAATAATTTGAAAAATATTCGTACCTTTCGTGAAGCGTTGAATTTAAAAGATAATTATTTTTTTATTTTGAAATACGCGACGCGAGCTCCACTGCCAGAGCAGTAGAAAACTGCAAAAAGTTCAAAAAGCCATTTTATTTTTATATACGGTAAAAACCCTGGGTCCCTGGTGTTCAGAAACCGAATTCCCTGCTAAATATCTCTCAGTTCAAATATCTTTCAGTCCGTCTTGTTGAATATTTCGGTGATCAGAAAGCTGGCAGATCCTACGTAAGCCAAAGAAATGTCCATCCAAAAGAAAATGGTGCCAGCCTTCTGGGCACGATAGGCCAGGACGCGGTCCTCGATAAGATTCTATACGACCTCGAATGGCTTTGGTTGATTCCAATCGTTGAATCAACCGCTTAGGAAAAAATATATAGTAAATTTGAGAATGTACACTGATTAGTATACGGTGTGAATAGACGAATCCTAAAATTTTTCGCGACAGAAAAAAAAATTTCCCTCGAAACTAAAATTCTTTTAAATCAACAGAACTAAATAGAACACGTATACTATACAATATAAATGTTTCAAATGGCTTTAATTTACTTTGTAAACAAATTAATTCTGAAATAAAGCCTAAATCGCCGTGATGTGTTTATCCTGTACGCCCTTTTTAATATACTTCATGACGCCAACTCCCCTTCCTACCTTCGTTCCCCGTTCCAGTTGCGCCCTCCCACCCGTTCAAGGTGTTCGTGCATCACTAAGATGCTCGTTCGTCCTAACAAATTTCTTTTTTAACTCCTTTTCTCCTCGTGCAACGCAATTGTAGAACAGACTTCCTTTCCATATTCAGTCTAGCCCGTCTATCGCTTCTTTCAAGAAAAGGTTGTACGCGCACTTTCTTGCTGAACTCTCTTAGTAATCATCTTATTGTATTTTTAACCGACTTCAAAAAAAGGAGGAGGTTCTCAATTCGACTATATGTTTTTTTTTGTTTTATATGTTACGCGATAACTCCGGTATTTGTGCACCGATTTTCATGATTCTTCTTTTGTTGGAAACTGGTTTTCTGCCAGTACCATATGGTGAGCGATCGCAACCCAGTATGCCATGCCACCAAAGTGCATCACAAGCAAATATATATACCTAACTCTAAATACTATTACATACACATATCAAGCAAAAGTGTAAGATATAAAGCAAATAATGTAAATAGTGTAAGTAATGAAGGTAAGCAATATAAATAATAATGTAAGTTTACAAACATAATATTAAATTATAACAATAGCCACCACATATGAATATAATAGATACGGAAATTTAGGTTTACAGGTATCAAACGCATTGATTAGGGAAATATCTATGTAGCGAGACACATCTGCTCTGACAAAAGATGTTTTTTAATAAGTATCCCTGCAGCCTGACCCAAGCAAAATGAACCGTTCAAATCTGGTAGTATTTCTGACCCCACCAATTTCAGACCGATATCAATACTACCAACTCTCAGTAAAACATTGGAAAAAATTATTCTAAATCAGATGTGTGCACATTTTTATAGTAATAACTTAATGTCTCCTAAACAATTTGGTTTCACTCGGGGTCGCTCTACAACCGATGCTGGTGTCGAGTTGATTAATCATATATTTTATGCATGGGAAGTCTCCTATGATGCTATTGGTGTACAGAATACACCTTTCCAAGGCTTTTGATTGCGTGCACCATGATACACTGGTCAGGAAACTTCGCCATTATGGTGTGGCGGAACGTGATCTCGACATTCTTAAGTCGTATTTGTGTAGTAGGGTACAGAGGGTCGATGTTAACGGTATGAGATCATCAGGGTCTGCAATTAGCATGGGTGTCCCTCAAGGTTCAATTCTAGGCCCATTTTTGTTTTTAGTTTATGTTAATGACTTACCTAGCCTTATGGAGGGTATAAAACACGAGATAGTATTGTTTGCTGATGATATTTCCTTATTATTTAAAGTTAAAAGGCA